AGACATCTGTTGCCAGGTCCTATGAGCAGCACTTTGCAATCACGTGCAGCATCATCATGTACAGCAGGAGAACAGTTCGCTTTCACTGACCTTCGTAATCGCTCAACAGCGTTCGGCTTTCATACAACAGTCCAGCAGAAGATGGGCCTAGTTCAGCATCATCATGTCTTTGTTCAGCAACAACAGCGGCCTGATGCGGTAATCAAGAAGATCCCTTCAAATACATCTTCCCATGATCTCTGAGCTTAAAAGACCCTTCCCCCAAGATCGCCATCAAGTCAGAAGGAAGGAGAACTGCCAGAGAAAAAATAATACAAAGTAATTAAAAAGCAAAACTTATATTTGCCACATTTTGTTACTTTCACTATCATAAATAAAATTTATCTTGTGATGCCTCCTCCCGTGTGGCGCTAGATTTGTTGTTGTTATAGCACAAACGGCCAACTGCCCCAAATCCTGAACTGCAAAAAGAATAGATAGAAATTTGTTAAAATAGTCCACGATCGGATGTGCCAGAATTAAGAAAATAATGACACTTACTGTTCAAAATCAATAAACGTCAATACCTCGATGACATTCACTCTGCTTGTGCCAAATATCAACTACAAATTCTAAAATCACAACCTCACAAACTCATTAAAGAATTAGAACAAACTCTAGAATGTCCAAGTACTGATACTTATAAAAGTTGTGATGGAATTGCCCTTGGTCAAATAATTATGAATTGCATATTGTTCTACTAAATACCAAACATCCTCATCATTGTCCCACGCTTCAAGACAAAGTCCTATTTCAAAATTTCAGAAATCCTTTACATTTTATCTGAATTTCATAGCAGTTTTAACCAAAATTTTCCTCAAAATTAACAATTTACACCCAACTGTATATAATCAAAGTCAGCAGTGATGCAGAAATCTATCAACAATTTTAAATGTAAATAAACATGGCATAGATGTTATTTGAAACCGTTCAATTTGAGATGATCAAATCTAATTTAGTAGAAGCTTCTATATCACATACACCATATTGTAGTAAAGCAGGAAGGCCATATGACTCTACATTAAAGAAATCCATAATTCACTATTGTTGAATCGAAAAAATCAAAATTATTGATTAACTAATTTACCATTAACCATATCCAAAAATTTACCAGGAATTAGGGTCTACTTCTGCTTCTCCCCCTGTTGATATAATAAAATTCCCATTTTGAAAACAATTTGGAATCTATGTCACTTTTATATAATAATTTGCTGAAAAACCAAAATATCATAAGATGTTCCACCATTTCTCCAAATCTTCCATCTAGTATTCAAACTAGACTGAGATTATGTAAATTTCAAAGTTCCATCTGTAATGTCTTATCTTTATAACATCCCCCTGTGTTTTCTTATTTCCAAAAGAAAAACAATTTAGAGGTGGAAAAACAAAAATGGAAGAACTTACCCCCATTATGCTAAAATTTCAACATGTCCAATCAGTCACCCATATGAAATATAAACCAAGTTTATTTAGTTAGAATTTAGGTTAGTTTGTTAGTGTTGTTAGTCAAAGTGGATAACACAATTTCCTAATAACTACATCTATCTGCTTTAAGCCAAGGCTGAATTCTCGTTTCATATTAATTTCACTGCACAAGCAGATGATTCAGCTTTAACCAGATCGTGACAGCAAAATATGAAATCGTCATTACCTTAAAATTGTCCCTTAAAGCAGTAATAAAAACATATTTATGAAACAAAACCTTCAGTGTACCTAAATAGTTTAAAATAAGAAAAATATCACACAGCTACACACTAAACTGAGGTCATGTTTACATAGAGCATCCTAAAACCCATTAAAAGCCATCTGCCTACACATTCACTCTCATTCACACTCAAGCAGACTCATCAACACATTGTAAGAAAGATGCAGGATGTTACCCCAGATTTCAAACCAAAATTCATCCTGTAAAAGTCTTAACACAAATATTATAACACCATGGTTGAAAAAAATAATAAAAAGACATTATTATCCAATAGTTCTAATATTGTTCAGTTTTGAGTGAACCTTTTTAAAAACTCCAAATTATACACACAACCGTATTTCATGATAGCCCACTGTTATTAAATGGCTACCTAGACCCCCTGTAGGAAAACCCAAAAACCGTTCATGTGGTCATGTAATATGCGAAATGGGCTGCACACGAAGATCGTCCTACAAGAAACAAAGTCATTCATTAGTGTTTCAACATGTCCCACATTAACAGTGTAGAAAACACTGTTAAGCAGAAAAACATCCATATGTTCTCCTGTTCCAATCAGTGAGGGTGTTCCCTCCTGTGTCAGGAAACCTAGAAATTTAAGTGATTGTCAATTTTACAGTATTATAATAAACAATTGGATCATTCCAGTGCTCTAGCCTGGAACTGATGCAACACATTTCACCCGCTGAGAAAGTAAAAACATCTGTAAATCTGTTATTTTGTACTTTTCATTTCAACACAAAATACAGTCCTAAAGCAATTCACATCAAAATCCAAGAATCCTGAAAGCGTGAGCTGGAAATAGCACAGAACTGAAGCACTCCCAAAATGCAAATAAGGGGGGTCAATCAGTCCCCCTGCTGTGAAACAAAACTTGCATCCAAAACGGAGACACCTCTGTCCCACAGAAGCACATTTTAACAGAAAGTTAGTAATACAACATCCAGCAAAAATATTTAACAATATTTCAGAACACAATCTTGAAACACAAATCACTTCCGCACAATCTCAGCACAATTCAGACACAGACAGACGAATAGACAGCAGCGCGTGGTGGGACATAGGCTACAGTATAACGGGGGAAGACAGACACACAGCCACAAACACAAAGAAACATACAAAACACAGAAACACAGACAACGTTGTAGTTCAGTCATGAAAAGACAGAAAAAAAGAAAAGAAAACGTCAGGAGCCGGCTAAAAGAATGTATGACGCATCTTTTAATTGTCCAATTTCAATTTTACAAATCCCTTTTATTCTCATTTCAACTTCCCAGTCCTACACTTCAGAGCTGGGTCAAGCTCGAGGCGAAAATAAGCCTCAATTTAGTTTATTCGATCACTCAATCCGCCCAGTGACAAAAGGTTTTTTCTTTTTCAGCTGGGGAGAGCGATTGAACCCGTATTAAATCAAATAATTTATTTTAGTCCTTTATACTATAAGCAACCCGCTTAAGGGTGCCAAAGAAAGGTGATCCAACCTGCTATTAGTCCTTTTCCCACGAGTGATACAACTCGGTCCAATTAACCTGCTATTAGTCCTTTTCCATGAGTGATACAACTCGATCCAATTAACCCAAATAATTATAAGTCCACTGGAGATGAGTCGAAATCTCCGGCTGATACAAGCCAAAACTAACCAATACACAAATTTCCAAAATACTTTTTCTAGAGGCCCAGGCATTGCTCCTCAGGGTAAAAAGAATAAATTAATCTTTATTAATTAATCAATTAATTAATTAATCAATCAATAAAACCTTCTTTTAAAAAACCCAGCTTAAGTCAGAGTTAACGTAAAGGCTCTGTTTGAACTAGCCACAGTTCCCTGTAATGTGTATTTATTCAAATCCTTAAACAACCGACTCATTTAGGAGGGATCCTATCTACCTCTGCAGCTTCTGAATTCTGTGAGGCCGCACACAGCAAATCAGCCCCGGTCCGACCACACGGCGCTTCAGACAACTGAAAAATAATCAAATACTGTCTTACCACACCGAAGCGTCGGGCCGAAACGGATCAATCAGGACCAAACAGCCGCGCGCCGAGATTCCAGAACCGGCACGAGCCCCCAATTGTAAAGGAAGAAAATATTCTAACATAGTTAACTTTGGAAAAAGGTTGGCTTCTGATTCTTCCCTTCCCCAGGTCCACTCGGCGAGCTGCGTTTGGTAATAAAACCAACATTGCGTGTTGACATCACAGAATTACAGAGTTTAATCCAATATAAGACAATGCATAAACTTAGAAATAAGACAATGCACAAACCTACACCAGAAACTGCAGAACAACAGAGACATACATTCCATTACCTGACATAGGAGGAAAAAAAGCAAAGACGTACAAGACATCTTTGGAGAGTTTGCAAGAGCAAAATCTGATCTTTTCCTTCTATTTAGAAAGCTTTATCCTCTTGTATCTAATCCATTCAAAAAGGGGCTGGCCCTCGGTCCTCCAACCAAACGCCATCTCTGACACTGCTAGGGCTTCCCCTTATTTACTGCAAACATCTGGGGTCATTTGCTTCTTTGTTTTAACAAGAAAAGGCGGAAAGCTTGTCCTGGCATCTAGAATTCCTAAAGTCATAAAACACAAGATAAGCTCTCACAGACAGCTTGTGGAATGCGGGGGACCTCACCATCCCTGGTTGTTTATTCTGGAAGACTTTTGACCTTCTGTAAACCAAGCAGAAATCTCTCCTGCAGGCTTAACTGTTATTCACCCCCCAGGAGATACTCATTCTATGGGCTGGTGGTCTAAATACTTATCCATTAGTAGTTTTAAATCATTAACACAGCCTTGTTCAAAATTAAGAAATATGTTCAAGTGAGAGTGTTTACACATGCCATAAGATTAACTGTATTAAAGTCTAAAAAATAATCATTTTTCTTTAACAATCCATAGTTTGTTTAAATGTTTTTATGTCATGCAAATTTTTTTGTTTGTTTTTGATGAGCATTAAAAAATTTTCATGCATATTATTTTCATCTTCTTATAAAAGCAGTGATTTAGAAGATAATCAGTGCTTCTGACATAAAAACGATTGAAGAAGCAGTTATTTTCTGACATTTCTGGGGTCATCTGAAGAGTTTTTATATTTCGTTTTATTCTGTTACCATTTCAGAGAATATTTTTTATGATGATTAGAGCCACTCTGTAGATGTCCTTTTGTTTTTTTAACCTGTCAGTTAAAGTGGAAACTTCCTCTGCATTGGTTAAATGTGCATGATGCTCACAGTGTGCAATGCCACCCTGCCTGCAGGACTTCCTGGAGACCCTGGAGGACCTGGACCTGAGTTACAACAACCTGGTGGACATCCCCTGGGACACCATTGCTCTGCTGGTCAGCGTCAACACCCTGAGCCTGGACCACAACCTGATTGAGAGCGTCCCTGAGGGAATCTTCTCTAATCTCCACAAACTGGCCAGGTATGTCTCAGATCACAGCACTTGGGCAGAATGCAAAACCTTAGCAATTCTCTTCACACGATGCAGTCTTTGGGCTCTGCTACCACTCAGCTTTGGATCTCTTCAACTAACTGTTGCAAATTCAGCTGATAGAAAAACTGTGGTTCTGTTTTTAGGCTCTTTGTTCTGTCTAGAAGTGGGTCATGCAGTGTTTGTTACGTTGGGTGATAAAGACGTTCTATATAAGGACTTATAATTTAATTTATCTTTTATCACATTTATCCATTAAACTGGGAGAATTATGTGGATTCATTCTGCATTTCTAAAATGTTTTTTTTTAAGGTTGTATCATTTGATTTTCTGCTGCTGGCACCACATTGGAAATGAAAAACGAATGGATCCACCTACTGCAAAACTTCCAGCTTTCAATGCTCTTCAAGTTACTCCAATTAAAACAATTTCAGCCTGAATCTTCCTCTGATGAAGATCATGTTTTTCATAATGTGTCCATAGTGAAAATAACATTTATGTGAGCTCAGAGATCGGGAAAGAAATTCCAGTTAAATTAATTTTTTTTATTAAAAAGCAGAGAGAAAGTAAATGATTCATTTGGATGCTTGAGTTTAGTTTAAAACCTTAAAATACTGAACTAGTATTATTTCAACTGACCTTAAACATTTTTTTTTACAAGTATTTATCCTGTGCTCCCCTCCCCCTGATTCTAAACCAAAGAGCAGTGGAGTAAAAAGTAAAAACACTTTCTAGATTAAAAGCATGTTTCCATAGCTATCTGAACACTGTTTAGTTTTTTTCCCCTCTTGCTTTGATAGGATGTTTTCCCTTTATATCGTTTTTTAAGTTTTGTCTCAAAAGCAGAGCAAAGTAATGTATGTTCTCTAATTCATCTCCGGCTTAAGACATAAAACCATCTTTGGCTATAGAAACAGCTCTTGTACTTTACGCCACCTGCTCAGTATTTAAGGGATTGGTAGCTAACATCAGATTCGCTTTTCAGGACATTTGTTACAAGATAATGATTGAAAATATAACTGAACTGAAAACAGAGCCTTGAGGAACTCCAGATCTGCTCTCTTTGGCCATATTTCACTAAAAGGAGTCACAGACAATGAACATGATAAAACTGAGTCTTGTTGCTGAGGTGTATCAGACTTTGACATGATGAATTTTGTGAACCCTGTGGGTCGCCCGTGCTCTAAGGCGTTGATGATTCAGCAAAGTCACCTTTAGGTTTATGATTATGGTGTTTCATGGCAGCCTTTATGTCACAGATAGTTGAAGATGTGTAATAACTGTTTGAGAGGCATCATTCAGCCCAGGCCATGTTGATCAGGACTCTAGTCAGTAGCTGTGTTTTCATCCAAAACGTCATGCACATTTTATATTTGATATATGTTTGTGATGCCTTTCCATCCCTTTTTGTTACCCACCTCTTGAGGCAAGTTTATTTTTATTAAATTCCTCAACCCACCATTGTGCCTCCATCAGCCTGTCTCGAATCAGTTTATGATCACTAATTTGTTATCATTTTATTGGAATGTTTTGCTGTCATTTATTGGTCAAATTTTAGATTTAAAGTCTTTCAGAGTTTAGGAGGTCTTTTTTTTACTTACAGTAGCAGCCATTCAAAATGTCCATTCCCAGTCAAACACCAGCTGAATGGCAGCCCCCTCCAATGCGACTACCTGCCAAATCCCCTCCAACTTCCAGCCACCGGCCTTTTCCTGGGCGTGCATTTTATTTACTATGACTGCACCCTTTTACTGAATTACACAGTCTGAACAGGATATAACGCTTCTCTTTTGATCTTTATGTCCACAAATCATGACAGAAAGAATATTTTAGTACAAAGATCGATGTTTAAAATCGAATTGTAGAGGACCAGCCAAGGACCAGCCAAGAGGCCATCAAGGAAAGGGGGGAAATTTGAAATGGCTACATCTGTAATGAGAAGTCTTCAGGTATACTAGAGAGCTGCAGTTTTATTGCCTTTGTGATTTCAGAGAAATCCCTCCTTCCTCACACCACACCCAGGTGTAGCGAGGTTTTTTTTTTTTCCAGTGACTGCAGTCACAGTCATTGTTAAGTCCCCAAAACTTGAATTCCACCGCGTGTTGCTCATATAACCTTGAACATAAGCTTGCCCTTTCTACTGTAAATGCAGATGTGTGTGAGAACATTGATTCCTCACATATTATAACAGCATCAGAAGATTTATTTTTCCTCCCACTTTAAAACAATAAGTTCATTCAAATTACTGTCTGTTCTGCTTCGGTTCCATTTAGTCACTTTTTATAATGTATAATCTCCGACAATTTATCTCTAAAATTATTGCATCAAATGAAAACAAATCTTGATAATTATTATACCCATAATGACCTGACAGCCAAATTCAGCTGGTCCAATCAGTTAAATGGTTTCCTTGAAGAACTTGAGCCATTTCTTAAATGGAGGAAACTAGAAGATCATCTGAGCAACATCTGGATGAATTTGGATGGGAGGCTCTCCGTTTGCAGAAGTAGTTTTTCATAAGGATACATTTCCTGTTTAATTACAACAAAATGACAGCCTTGTCTGTAAAGAAATATCTTACCTCGGATAAAGCAGCCTCTAATGAGAAAATAATGGAGTCTGGTAAGTCATCTACTGTCAGTCTGCAGAACCCAGGAAAATATCAGTAAAATTAGAGCTCTTTTCAGCCTCACGTGGGTCTCATCACAACAGGATGTCTGACAGTAGAGCTTACAGGTTGTAAAAACATCAGATATTCAGTTATAGAGTGTAAATAGTGACGTTTAATATACCGAAACAGTTTTAACCCAAACCCAGAGAACAATATATTAGAGATCATTCAGCCTGACATTACCGCTCTCTGAGGGAGGAGGGGGTACAGACTTTAAAGTAATATTTCAGTTTATTTATGTTGGATTAGGGCAGCTCAGTGGTACAGTGGGTAAAACTGCTGCCTTGCAGCAAGAAGGTCCTGGGTGTGATTACAGGCTCGGGGTCTTTCTGCATGGAATTTACATGTTCTCCCTGAGCATCCGAGGGTTCTCTCCAGGTACTCCGGCTTCCTCCAACAGTCCAAAAAACATGACTGTTAGGTTAATTGGCTTCTCTAAATTATCCTTATGTGAGTGTGTGGGGACCGTTGTTTGTTCTGTGTTGCCCTGCGATGGACTGATGACCTGTCCAGGGTGTACCCCGCCTCTTCTCCGTGTCATGATTTTACTAAAGTTCAGACCCAAAATGCAGAAGACCAAACAGAGAGACCAGGGAAAAGTTTAACTGGTTTATTAGTATAATGACATGAGTCCAATGCTGCTCTGAACACTGCTCAACCGGAACTGAAAGGTGAGGGGAAGACACTGCGGTTAGTTCAGGCTCAGTGGGAAATTAGATTCTTTGGCTTGAAGAGGAGCAATAGGTTGCAGACTCACGTTTCCAGAAATGGTGTCCTTTATAGAATCCAGTCTGTGTGGGATGTTCCAGTGATTGTCTTTTTTGATGTTGGGCGCATAGGGTTTACTCAGACTGTGGTTGTTCCTTGGTGAACAGAGAAGCTGACTGCCACTCAGATTTCCTGCGGTACTTGAATGGGCTCTGGTGCAGATGAATCCCTTGCTCAGTGTGAAACTCAAACGACCTCTTGGGGGAAAGTGGATCCAAACCTCTTGTTTGTATCCCCAGCTCAGTTTGAAGCTCAGTTGATCCTTCCAGGGAGAGAAGGTCCGAAAAATCCAGTTTGCAGGATGACTTCCTGCCGAGAGGCAAAGACAAAAAACAATGATTAAAACTCAGGTTGACATAAACTCAGTTTGACTCAGCAAACTCAGCTTGGCTAGAGTACCCAAAACTGGCAAACACTCAGCCCCGAGGTAGTAGCAGTCAGCAGCTAAGAACACTCCACAGGTAATGAGGCAACGAGCTGCAGGTGTGCAGTGAGGCCTAATGAGGACGGGGCACCACCTGGTGGAGGAGGAAAGGAAACACAGAAACAACCCACAAAAACTGGATTCCTGACAGCCCGTAGACAGCTGGAGAATTATTTGTGTTTTATTTATTTAACATTTTTACAGGTTTGATTAAAGATATTTGTTTTTTAACATTTTATAACAAGTATTCTGATCTTAAAGTGTTTTTTTAAGTCCTTAATTGTTTTTTAATCATTTGAGGGTTTTTAATCAATATTTCTGTGCATCTGGGTTAAGTCTATTGTTCTGGTTCTTGTTCTGAATCTCTGTCATGGTTCAGTTAGTAGTCTGGTTCTCAGGTTATCTCTATGTGTTTCTAACCTCTGAAATGGATCAATGAGTTTAATTCAAGGGTTAGACATTTTATACATTAGAAGGAAGTTAGAAAGCAATAATTTATCAGACGTCGTTTTTCCTTATTACATTTGGACTTTTTTATTCCGCTCTTTATTTTTGTCCACAGCAGCTCTCAGTATTCATGGTTCCCAGCTGAGGAAAGGCTGCAGTGTCTAAATCAACCTTCACATGACTGAAATTGAAGTTAAAGTGCAGCCAGAACAGGATACTGAGGGTTTTCCATCACAGAAATTTCCCATTCAGAGACATTTATGGAACCAGATTTAAGATTTATAACGCAGCAGCAGAAATTTGTGATTCTTTCAGCTCTTTCCTGATATAGCCAAGTAGATAAAGATAACTGGGGCCTGACGGAGAAGAACCATTTACTACACCTCTCTCTTTATCTCATTTGATCCTTAGCCTCTCCCTTTCTCACTCCCTTTCCCGTTCTCATACGGCCTCCCACCTGAATGATCGATAACCCATCTGCTCTCGCCTCCCACTTCATCCTTTGGCACAAAACATCAGCACCAAAAACCAGGAATATGATTTGGGAGAAATGAGTCACTAGTGTTTTTCTTGCCTCCTCTGAATCATTCTCCTCTTCTCACTTCTGCACCTTATCTGTCTGGACCTGCCAAGTCCTCGACTTTAAAGAAATGTTGGCTTTTATTTTCAAATAATTACATCCCCTGGGTTCATATTTATAGCAGCTTTCTGAGACGAGGAGAAAGAGATGGTTGAAGAAATTAAACGGTGAAATCTGACTTCAAAGACATTCCCCTCCTCAGCAAAGACAAAAAAATACACTGAAACTACTTTGAAGATGAGAAGTTCTGAAAACCAACTTTACTTTTCCCAGTTGTATTTCTCTGAGTCGTATTTACTCCTAAGACAGCAAATATGTTTGTTTTGTTACTAAATTCATCCTCAAATATAATTACAATATTTTCTGAAGATGTATCAAACCGATCAGGGGGGGATTTACCATTAGGCAATACGAGGCAGTTGCCCATAAAACTCTGTATACATGTATGATTAATACAACTATTGCTTATTTGTGCATATTATTTATGCTTTTGATAAAAACCTTTTCGCAAAAATGCCATCAGAATACAAATAACACTTCAGTGTCCACCATATTGGATCAGTCCGTTTGCTGCACATGTTCAGAAAGGTCCAAACAGACAGCAGCAAACCATTTGAAAACAAAAAATGCAAAGAGAAGTGTTGCCAACTTAGCGCTTTTGTCGCTATATCTAGCGACTTTTTAGACCCCTTTAGCACTTTTATTAAAAGAAAAAACACCTAGTGCCAAATCTAGTAACTTTTTCTGCTACTGGAGACTTTGGCAACAACATCTAAAAGCAGCGAACTCTGCTCTCCCGAGCAAGTAGATTGGTAACCCCGCCTCCTGCTCTCCTCTATCTTGTCTGCTGTCATGATTCATGCAGCTATTATTTGATCCAAATAAAAAATGGAGAACAGATAAGCAGATCATGGCTTGTCTACAGTGAAAAGAAGGACTGGGTTATTTACTTTTGCTGTCGCCTTTTTGGAAACACAGGAAGGAGCAATCAGCTAAGTGGGATTAGTGCTTGGAAAAAATCTTTAATAAGTTTAGAGACAGCATGAAAAGTCAGCTGAGTACAAAACATAGAGAGGAAAACAACAAGAAAATGGACAAGAACAGAGGGACCATTAATTTCTCTATCTGTATAATGGGTCTGTTTTATGTGTTGCCTTCTCAATTCAGAAGGCCCCCCGCCTGTCTTTGCCAAGGGCCCCAAATTTCCTAAATTCTCCCCTGAAATCCTTACATGTCTGTAGGGAAGATTAACAAGGATATCTGTGCTTTGTCCCCTTCAGACTGGATATGACATCCAACAAGCTGAAAAAAATACCTCCAGACCCCTTGTTCCTCCGGATCCCGGTCTACGCCAAGATGAAGGGTTCTCCTCTCACAGCGTTAGTGTTGAGTTTCGGGGGGAACCCTCTTCACTGTAACTGTGAGCTGGTGTGGCTTCGAAGGCTGACCAGAGAGGACGACCTGGAGACCTGTGCCTCACCGAAGGATCTGGCCGGCAAATACTTCTGGACCATACGAGAGGTGAGTTCCAATTTAATACTCAAAAAAACCCTTCAGTGCATCATATTCCTCTGACATGAGCCACACCAACATGTTGCATCATTAGGCAGAAGATAAATCCATCGCCTTTAAGCTATTAACAGTCTTTTCTACCATAGTCCATAGACGAATTTCACAGGCATTTCTGTCTATTACTTTTACTAATAATTTCACCACTAAACTCTTTTTGCTACTTACATCCAGTTGAATAAAGTCAGTTTATTTACAATGAATCGGTATAGCTCTACAAATGGTACATTCTAATTTATTTCTCATAAAATAAGCTGAATTAACAATGTCTGATTCTTCTATGATAAACTAGAGGGATTGCAAAACAAATTTACATCAAGTAAAAGTAAAAGAGCAGCCTGATTAGATTGATAATAAATGACAGAATTGGACCTGTTTTTCAGTTATTAGTCCCGTGTTTCATCCTTTTTTAAATGAAAACCATCTCATAGTCTTTCCCCTTCGCTGTCACTGCAGGCATGCTCTGTGTGAGGGAGTTCTGTACTGTCAACGACACAATGGTAACAAATGTCTGCTGTCGCCACAGGCTGATCCAGGGGGAGTAAATCCTGAAAAGTCAATGACTCAATGCGATCAGCTGGTCTTCATTCAATAGAACATTTTTAGCCAATCTGTATGTATGATCGGATGAATTGTCTTCAGATGATGTTTGTTGTAAATTGGTTCCATATTTAAAAAATTAATTGGTAATTGGTCAATGGGGAGGTTATACATTTGGGGGGGATGATTAGTTAATGACTACAGGTCTTATAATGTGCTAATCAAACCTCAGATCAAATGTCGCTTTCATTTTCCACCTTTTGCTTTCCTAGCTGTTGTTTCAGCTGCTCCCTCTTACCCTTTCCCTTGCTTGATCGGGTTTTCTGATTTAACTCCGGGATTAAAGAAAGAACATATTTTTTAGGGTGGAAAAACTTCCAGTAAAAAACAGGTTACCTATGCAGCTTAATATATTCCTACCTCAGATCAATGCATATATATGCACAATTTTTCTTAGGCGATTTCATTTTCTGCAACAAAGTAAACAGTTTTAAGAAGCCCCTTTATTTCATCTTCAAGCTGCACTTGCACACGGTGGATTGTTAGCTGAATATGCCTCATATTCCTTTTTGCTGCTGCAGTGGAAGAAGCACTGTCAGAGTGGTGGCACAAAGTTGAGGTTTTGAAGATTTTGCTGGTAGAGGGTACAGGACCGTACATTTTACAGATGGAGCAGCTCATTTAACTGGGGATGGAGCTTGAGTCAGTTAGGCTTAAACGCATCCTTCGGCAGCTAAGTGATATTGACTGTTGGAGGGTCAGCGGTATCTGGATCAATCCCAACATCACTGGGTCCGGCATCGCTTTTGATTTGTGTTTTTTAAGCTGGTTCTTCTGTTGATACAAACATAGATTTGTGTTTTAGCCAACGATCAATGTTTGGAATATATATATATATATATATATATAAATAATATATATTTATATTCGGAATATAATATATATAATACTGTATATAATATATATTTTTATATATTTGGAAGGTTAAAGACATTAAATATGATAACTGTCATGATTTTACTAAGTTCAGACCCAAATGCTGAAGACCAAACAGGGAGGCCAGGAGAAAAGGTTTAACAGGTTTTATTGAAGAGATAATGCAGAGAGAAGTGTTGCTCTGAACACTGCTCAACCGGAACTGAAAAGTGAGGGGAAGACACAGCGATTAGTTCAGGCTCTGTGGGAAATTTGATTCGTGAACTTGGAGAAGAGGATCTGGTGGAGGGCGGAACAGAGTTTACCCAGAATGCGATTGTTTGAAGGTGAACGGAGAAGCTGACTGCCACTCAGATTTCCTGCGGTACTTGAACGGGTCGTAGTGGAGATGAATCACTTTCTCAGTGTGAAGCTCAAACGATCTCTTGGGGAAAGTGGGTCCAAACCTCGTATTTGTAACCCCAGCTCAGCTCGAAGCTCTGTTGATCCTTCCAGGGCGAGAAGGTCCGAAAAAAATCCAGTTTGCAGGATGACTTCCTGACGAGAGGCAAGGACAAAATAACACAGTTAGGACTCAGGTTGACAAAACTCAGTTTGACTCAGCAAAACTCAGCTTGGCTAGCGTACCCCAAACTGGCAAACACTCTGGCGTCGAGGTAGTGGCAGTCAGCAGCTTAAGAACACTCCGTTAACGAGGAAACCATCAGCAGGTGTGTGAGGAGGGGGACAAGAACCAGGCGCCTCCTGGTGGAGGAAGGGAGACAAACACAGAACACAAACACACAGACAGGAGTCCTGCCAATAACCACTGGTATGCTAGCCAAAAACTAAACTGTGCTCTAAAACTGTGTTCACACTGGAGGCGTTAGGTTTACATGTAAAGTCTATGGAGGAGAGCGTTGAGGGTCCAGCTGGATGTTTGAGCGCCAAGAGCAGCGCATTTTAAGCTGTTCTGGCGTACCAGCGTTCAGGCGTCTGATCGTCCGCTGGGGTTCAGCAAACTGAACTTTTGCCGTAGGACACTGGATTATCAACCAATCAGAAAATCTGATCCAGGAGTTTTTGGCGGAGATAAACACTACCTGCAAGCTGTCATTGCTTCTGCAGACATTCTGCATGTGAAAAATAAGTAAATATCAAGGGAGTTCAATTCCAAAGGTTAAAAAAAGCTGGAAGAATGAATTGTTATGTAGAAATAACAGAGAGCTGATCATTATTGCTGCACTACACGTGCAGTTTTTACCACCAGCCTTAAAAACCTTTTTTTTCACTTCCTACAAACAGCAGTGTGCAGGAGGCCTGGTACTCTGGACAAGAACTGCATATTTTAGTGAGATAATCGTGATGGACTGAAAGCACAGTGTAGCTGCTGTAGTAGTTAGAATCTAAGTAGTTAGATTTCATTTAACATAAAACATTACTTTGAAATGTCTGATCGTTTTTATTAAATTTGTTTGATGTTTGATAGATTTGATGCTCATTAGGTTTGGCTGAGAGTACATTTAAAAGTGGGGGGGGCTTTTTATTTCGTTCCGTGGACCATGTGTTGCCCAGGAAAACATTGGCTGGCACACTTTGAGCCACATGAGGCATTGAAGCTGGTCAAACTTGTCTATACCTTCTTTAAAGGGCGTAGATTTGATCTCAACTTTGATAGGGACACTATTGGTCTTAAGTTTCATTGGTCTTATGTCATTGGTCCTATGCAATATGCATGCTCCAAAATTTTTTTTAATGCTTGAATTGAGCATCAGGGCGCATTTTGCTTAAAGAGAAAACTGCATTTTTTTGATAGATTTATACAAATTGCTTTAAAAGAGGTTAAATTTGAACTTAACAGCAACGAAGACAGGCGGTGAATACATGACTATTTAAATAAATATAGCCAAAAAATGTCTCTTGTATGTGGATTTATCCTGTATTTTCTTTTGAAGATATAGAATTCTGCAGAGGTAAACAGAGGTAACATCCACTCTTATTTTTTTTTCTGTTATGCTGATATTCTTTGTATGGTAAAACAAAGCAAAATAATAAATTCATGGGACTGCAAATAGATTTATTGTATTAACATGTAAGCGGGATCTATAAGAGGAACTAACACTTAGCACTTAAAATATTAACTTAATATACAAGTTGTGCAACTGGGCTGCAGTTACCCTGTTTAGCCCATTTCAAGTGTTTTATTGTAACATTCCGAACAAATTTCTTACATAATACGTATTAAGTGTAGATAACAGCATCCAAAACATGTAAATTAACTTGGGCCTAATATAATTTCAGTGTATTCATTTATTCAGTGTATTCTATTTCATCCAAATATTACATGTTGTTATACTCTATAAAAAAATAACTCCTGCTATTCATACCTGAACTACCTCATGGGGTTGTCAAAAATGAAAACAGTAATAGTAAAGAAATACTGGCAAAAGCGAAACCTTCACATTTTCTTTTTATGTCGGTTGTCGCTAAGAATCTGAACTCCAGTCTGTCAAAGAATATTTAGTTTTATAAAAGAAGAAAGGGTTTTTGTTGATCACATGTATTATACTACAAATTTAACTATTATTTTGAGATGCTAACATTGGTTACTTACATTTTCCAAGTTCCACAAATCACAACACTCTCCTGCTTCTTTACAGAACTGCAATCAGTTCTGAAAAATAAAAATGAGTTTTTGCCTGTTTTATTGCAGACAATATTTAGTTTTTTTTTAAAAGAAGTGACTGTATTGTAATGCTGCATTGTAAATGAAATACATTATTCACGTCAAATTATTGGTGGGGACAAGTAGGTCAGTCCAAACTTTTAGTAGGGACATACAGTATCCTACACCCACGCCTTGTTTTCCTTTCTGGGTCATTGGGAAGCTTGTATGTACTGCCAGCAGTCTTTTGGTGAGAGACACCCTGCACAGTTCTTAAGTCCTTCGCAAGGCAATAAAGTGACACTCATAACCGTGCACACACGCTCAAACCTAAAGATTGCTGAGATCTGTTAACCAAAGAGAAGTGGAGAGGATGCAGGCAGAGGAGGAATGAAAGGAAAACTGATAAAGTAGTCATTAATCAGTCAAGCTCATTGTTTCAATTTCAGGAACGCCATATCATCTCTCCAACAAAACCTTTATTGTGCTGCAGAATTCTCCAGTGAAAGCTGATCATGGCAGCACAGACTAGCATTCACTGAGTTTTCAGATAACAATGGCATCCTGTAAATCCATTACTATTCATGGTTGGCTTCAGCCTCAACTTTTCATTGCTTTTTAACTGTCATTATACTGTCACAATTAAAGAACAATGAAATTAACTCTATTGCAGATCTCAGCAATCTTTAGGGTCTTGCTCAGGGAACCAGAGTGTCAGTCCGTGGGATTGTGGCTTGAACTCAAAACCTCCGGATTCCAAGCTTAATGCCCTAACCGCTAGGTCGCCGCTACCCTCAATCCATCTTGAATGTTTTCCTTGACGTCCTGATTGATGATATTATTAGAGGTTTAAATGCTGGTCAGTAGCAAACCTTGTGCTGATTGAAACAATATTTATTCATCAGACTGACTCTGCTAACACTGAGCTGTTGAAATAATAGTACAACCTGTGCAGAAGATGCCTGTGCCTACAAAAACTTGGATCCATGAGACAGATGGATATAAGCCTCTGCAGAGAGAGATTTCTAGCATGCTGTTCTGACAGGGATGTTTTTAGGCTTTGGAAAAAGTTTGTGGTTCTTGACTTCTTCAAGTCCCAGTCAGGTTTAATTATGAGAACTGAGTGTGTCAGGTCTTTGCAGATCAGAAGGTGGTATAGAGCGCTTTGCTTCACATGGAGGTGCTCTCTGGGATAAACATGGGATTATCAGCTTTTATCTTAAAGTGGGTGCTGCTCTAAAAACCTCTGCTTGACTTGAGGTAATAAATGTAGACCTTCCTCAGAGAGGCGTGGTAGAATAAGAGGATTAGCTTGAAGAGGTTATTTCAGAGACCTCTATGTCATTGAAGTGTTGGCGCTCATTAATGTTCACAATTTAATAAGCAGCTTCCTTCTGCGAGGTCATGGGAGCTCCCACTACTACCGCCCTCCACACACCGAGGTTTGATTTAACTGATATCACAAAAGGCTGTTTTCTTTAGAATAAAACATAATAATCCCTGTGAGGGTGTATAAAATAGCTGATTTGCTTTCTGTTTTTTGGTTTTCAGAAGAAACAGTGATTTATCTCCCCTACTGCTCCTCATCTGAGTGGACTCTCCGGGGTCTAGCCTCCACTGGCTGCCCTGAGTTTAACAGAAACGCTTGGGAGGTAGATGAAAAGAAAGACCTGAATGTTTTAAAGATATTTATTTTGACTGCAGTCTTCAGGTCAGCTATCAGCTCAGTTGGAAACACGATCTATCAAAACCCTCCTGGACTTCTGCTGGTACCTCACCGTGGTTTGGGCTCAATTTATTTAGGTTTCACAATCTGTAGATGGTTTTATAAAACCTTAACAAATCAACATGTTTTGCTCTTGTTAAAATATACATGAATGACTCAAACAGAAACAGTATGCCCAAGAAGTAACCAAGTTTGATTTTATTCAGTGATACTAAGTTACATTTTTTATCCTCAGCTTCTATATGGGACATCCTGCAGATTTCCCTCCTAAACAGGATTTCATTGTTTTTCTCCTGGCAGGAAGAATTTGTCTGTGAGCCACCCATGATCACTCGTCACACCTCTAAGATGTTTGTGATGGAGGGTCAAGAAGTCAGCCTCCGCTGTAAATCCATTGGGGATCCAGAACCATCCACACACTGGGTCAGCCCTGACGGAAAGCTGATCGGAAACACTTCCAGAACCGTTTGCTATGAGAACGGGTCACTTGACATCCTTAAGGCCTCAGTTAAGGTAGGCGGATCAAGCATTGCTTTAATGATGTTATTTTGAATTGTTATGCAGATTTTCTTTTTCCTTTGCTGATTCTAACAAAAAGAACCAGCCAGTAATATTTCACTACTTTTCCTCATAATACAAATTTCCCAGTTTTTAGGCTGTTATTCTTTCATTTAATGTACCTTAGCTTTAGAGAAACTGGCTAAACCTGTTTAACACAGGGACAATCATCTTTAATTGAATTATTGTTAAATATGGTTAAGTTAATTTAAGCGTTAAACTGTTTTACAGAGGTGATCATAGCGATCTGCATCAGCAGCGCTGTGTCTGTCTCCATGCCAGCTCCCAAATCAGCTTCTCTGATTGGTTGATGTGGCATGTCAAGCAGCAAAAGTTACATTTTTCAAACTTGAGTAGCCGCTGCTTCTGAAGCGTGTCCCGCATATAAGATGGTCAGAAGCTCATGACAAGCTACTTCAGCTGATCAAAGGCTCTGCTCCTGCTGCTCAAAACGCACTGCAGGACCTTTTGCTGCACCTTGATGCGCGTCAACCATTGACTTTGCATGTAAACTAGCTGTTTCTGCTGCCCCTGCAGCTTTTGGTTTGGTCGTAGCATTAGATGACTGATGACAGAAGAAAGCCCTAGGAAATTTTCTAGTGTCGTCCTGCCTTGTACCAAAGAAAAACTCAGCAATAAGGCCATAAGGCTGTATCTCAATTCACAAGAACACAAGTATGGACTCGTGCTCTCACCAAGTACATTCTTGACAAGAACAAGGGAAGTATGGACCTGGGGAGAAAGGGAGCTCGCAGAATAAATCTGGTTCAATTGGAACAGAAACCTTCTCATGACATTACCAAATGCACGGCTCATCTGGACCTGCATTTCAACCCCTGTTGTCTCTATATAATAATGTATTTTTCACTTTTTTCATTTAGTGGGGGAATAATAATTAAAGATTTAGATAAAAACAAATGAAATGAAAGTTTTTTCAAAAAATATAAATAACATCAGCACCAGCGGTTCTTCACACACCACCATGCCGCTGCCGACAGGCTAACGTTTATCACAATGGGGATGGTTTGACAGGACCCAAATGCAGACAAAAGCTCGAGGGAATTTCTTGAATGTTTAATAATAAAAAGGGTAACAGAAGAAAAAAATCCAAAAATATAAATCCACAAAAATGCTGAAAACCAAGAATACTCACAACAAGAAGGGGACAAAGTAATGACGACAAACCAGCAAAGAGTGACTAAACCAGAGGAGAATAAATGAGAGAGAGAAACAAAGACCAAGCTAATTACCAGATTTGGAGCAAGTTTGAACAGAGGCAAGAAGGGAGCTAGAGGAAAGGAGACTGACACATGAGGGCCAACAAGAAATATCTAAGAACTCAAATACAATCAAAAATACCTAGAACACAAGAATGGAAATAAGACCAATGAAAACTCAGATAAAACTTAAACAAAACCAAAACCATGAGAATGTTAGCCCCGGTTGCATAGCCCTGGAGCTCCACTGGTTGCCACAGTCACAGTCTCATATACTGAAGCTAAAAAGTATGATATTCTCACCTCAAATTATCTTAAAACATACTTTTGTTGAGCAACGCCAACAGAAGAGGAAACCTTTAATAATGGTACCCTGAGCTTCTTGAGCCATAAACTGGAAGCTGCTGCTTACTCTGCACACCTCCGACTCCCTGAATAAAAAAGACTCCTGGTAACTGCAGAAATCCTCAGATGACTTTGTAGTTATCAAAGATGGACAAGACACTGAGTACAAGGAACCAGTAAATCACTTCACGGGATGGTGTGGAACCAAGTGTCTGATCCTGAAAATGAACAAAGTAAAAAAAGAACAGGAACAACTCGATGAATTATAGCATTATGAGAGAGGAAGTGGATGTGGTGAAGGTAGATAAATACCTCAGCGTTTATCGACCTATCTGACTGAACTTACAACTGCGAAGCCATCTGCAAGACTGGTTATAGTAGACATTACTTCTTAAAGGATGGTTAAGTATTTCCATTTTTTAAGTTTTTACATCCAGTCTCTTTCCAAACCACCTAAATCAGGTGAAAGGCTCATTACCAGGTTTGTGCAGAACAGTGAATAAATGCTGATTCAAGATTGGGCATTAGATGATTTTTGCATCAGATGCAGAAACCCTATATAGGGCAAATGATGCATAACCTGCTTCTCATCCTGGGTTGCTGTATGTTTGGCCCTTAATATGTCGTGTTTCTTTTTTTCTTCTTTCCTTAAGGATTCTGGAAAGTTTACCTGCATAGCATCAAATGCCGCCGGTGAGGCCACTGCTCCCGTTGAATTAGTTGTCAACCCTTCTCCACACTTTGACCCCAAACTGGACCCTGACCCAGGGCCCTCAGACATCCCAACATCCATAAAATCTAACGTCAGCGGAGGCCAGCCCAGGTCCGACCAGCAGAGGGTCAGCGTTTCGGACGTTACCTCCAGCTCTGCCATTATCAGGTGGCCGCCTCAGAACCACATACCAGGGGTTCGCATGTACCAGATCCAGTATAACAGCTCCACCGATGATATCCTGATATACAGGTGAGCCTGGCAACGTGTTAAAACTGTGTAGGCGACTTACTAGAAGTTGTGCAGAAAAAACTAAGGCTTTGAAGATCTCTTCTTTTGAAGCCTTCGATCTGGATTCAATCAGAATGAACCAGAGTCAGAAGCCCTGATAAGGAGAAGACTAAAGCAGCTTGAGGCTCTGTTTCAGTTTTGGTTTATTAATGCAGCATCTACTATAATACTGCATCTTGTTCATGCAATATTTCACCAAGCAAACTAACCAAGATAAATACACAGATAGATTTACCATTGCTAAAAGGAATATGCTTACATTTCCTGCTTATTCACAATTGATTTTTTAAGTTATCCTAGAGAATTGTACACATAAATACTCTTTTTAGTTTCAAATTAAATAATTTAAATTATTTTTTGCTGTTGTTGTTGTTGTTGTGTTAAATGTCAGAACACTCTCCAGGTTCCTGTACTTAAATAATTTTAACTAAACCCACAAGGAACTGAAGCACATTTCCTTTACTTCAAGATTTTAACTAACAAAAAAAAAAAATCTTTTCACTTGCAGTTTAGCTCTCCTTAGCTAGAATCTTTAAAAATCTGACTTTTAGGCTGAATCCCAAACCGTCCCCTAAGCAAGAACCCTTAACTATCAAGTGTCACTCTCAATGGAGTCATGCTTGCAGCTGTGGAATGCACCTTGATTGAAGGTGGGGGGTATAAACATGTATGGGACAGCCTCTTTCCTCCAACAGAAAAGCAAAGCAGTCGTTGCTATCGCAACACAGTGACACCCCATGTTCGTGGCTGCAGCTTTCTGGCGCACCTTGACATAACATATAACAATTGCCCCTTTTTTTTAAAACAAATGTTTACGGTCAGATAAAGCTGTTTCAAAGAGGACCTTCCCTTTTGGAATTAATTATGTTTTTTTCTTATGCCTAACTTGTGATTATCTGTCAGCGTGATGAAGATGCAAAAAGGAGCGGAACTTAAGTTTGGTGGAAAATGTTTTCTCCACCGTCACCATTATACGCACTGCCAAATTCCTGGACGGTCAACTCATCCAACCCTCTACATGGTTAGGGTTAATGTGGCGGACCTTCCGTGGGAATGCGCAAATGGAGGGTTAGTGCTCAGGGTTAGTGTTTAGGGGCTGGTTTGGGATTTGGGCCATAATCTTTAAAAAAAAAAAAAAATGATTTACCTCAAATGTACATCTATGTGTTTTGGGGTTTATACCAGATAAGCAGATGCACTCTGAATGTTGCTCCGAAGAATCTATCGCTGCCTGGCCTTGGGCACAAGCAGCAACAAAAGTATTACATATGGCGGCCATATTGGAGGCATGCGGGTCACTGCACCTACAACTGCTGAGTGCTGATTCCAGCCATAGAGACAAACTGTTTAACAGTGTGTATCAGGATGTGTGTGTTGCATTACGGCAGTGATCCAAATCTGTCCAGATGGGTTTTTTATGGACAACCGTTCTAACAGCAGTGAGTAAATGTTTCTGAGAACAGCTGTTGTCTGGGTGGCACTTTGGACAGAGCTGCTCTCATGTAATCAGAAAGTTATAATTTTGATAACACCTTCTTCCTGCCACACCTTTATGTTCCTTTGTTCAACTTGATTTCTGACCTGACGATCAATGTGAACATATAAGTGCAGCTTGTCGTCAGAGTAAAAGCTCTGTGAGTGGTCCTACAACTAAAAACCAGGCTGAAGATTCAAAAGCGTTAAAGAAAAGGGTGGGTAGAGGCCACTCAGTTGGAGTAAAGATGAGTTGCACAAGGATGTTAAACGTGTGTAAGAGGTGACTCTGAAGAATGCAAATGTTTAAGAGAGAGAATTATGTTAGGTACGGGATAAATATGCAGGAGAATCTCTTGTATGAAAATCAAAGAATCGGATTAAACCTGGGTGTTTGTGCAGTGAGATAATGGTTGGTTTAAGAGAGCATCCAAACCCATCTATCCTTCCAGGGTCTGTTAGTGGCAAACTGGTTTCTATCTCCAGTGGTGAACGAAATCTTCTATATGTCACCAGTCTATAACACGACAGGACCCTGCACACCCTCTGTTAAAATGACAATTTACACAACTATTTTCCAATAATAGCTTAATCTGTTTATTGTGCCCAAATCCTCCCTGAGTTCCGGTCCACTGCTGGAGGCTGGTATTATTCCAGCTGGGGCAAAGAGAACTGGTATGCTGGGGAATCCTGCAGAGCAGTGAAAACATGGTGCAGATGAGAAGGTTTTAAAAACCCAGCGAGCTGCTGCTGAGAGAACGAACAGGGCTGCAGAGCTGGAAATAATGGAGATAAAGGAAATAAAATCAGCTTTAGTGAAAGTGGTGAGAGAACATTAAGATGAATGTGAAGCGGTAATTCTCTTTTTATAAATCAAATTGTTCAGACAAAACTGTTATTGCTGCATCTCTTATGGAATGCTTTTATTAAAGATTCATCTGAGTGGTTATATTACACAATATTCCTATCAACATGAGAATGAGACAAGTTTATAAAACACTATGATATATTTCAAGTGGGACTTTTTAAATAAAAGAGAGTTGTTCCTCATCCTCCAGCAGCTTGATGATTTCCTTCCAATCACCAGCTGTGGTTTTCAGAGGACTTTGAGGCTCGAGTGCAGAACTGTCAGCCCACGGTTCTGAGTGACCAATGGATGGTCTCACCAGCCATTTAGGCACTTCTGTCACCAAGCAACAATACTCAAAATGCATAATGGAGTGCTATTACGGAGCATTTTCAGGGCTTACAGATGACAGTTTGAAACATGTCCAGAGGCCGTTTTTCACATTTTAACCACAGACCGATGGAACGCCAGTGGCCACTTTGCAACCCTCAGATTGAGAGCGGCCTCTCAGGGAGCTGAAATAGATTATTGTAGATGGGCAGATGGAGGGGTCAGAAAAACAGCTCCGTTAACCTTAATGTTGGCATAGTTTTACGATTTGATAATGTAATCCATTACTTATTGGAGACTGTATGTGTTTAATGGCACAGATTCTTCCACAATCTTAAACCTTGTCTATGTATAAAGTTCTGGCCTTCCCAGGAGGCTGCTGGGGACCCAAACTCTACCAAAAACTAGTCTGGAAGATTTTATCCCCTCCCACAGTCTGGTACACAGGTAGTCATGGCTTTTGACCTTGAAAAGCAGGTACAGGTGGATTCCTCCTCCAGACTTACTATTTATCCCAGCTTCCTAAACATTTCAGATCCTAAATGGCCTGAATCCAAAGACCCTTCCTACAGTATTAGTTCCAGACAGTTCTCACATTTTATAACTAGCTTGAACAGAAATTTATAAATTCTTTCAGAACAATAATAATGATGAATGAACTTGAACCCCAGTTTTTCCTCTCCACTGTTGCTATAGGCATGCTTAATGTGAGGGATTGCCTTCAAATCAATGAGTTGATGCAATCAACTGGTTTTCCTTAGATAGAAAATTTGACTGTATGATCTGGTTGAATTGTAAAGGGCCTTGAGATGACATGTTGTGAAATGGCGCTGTGTAAATACACTTAATTAAGCTTTAAAGTTGAAAATGTTACTGCTCATTTAACCCCTAATATAAACCACAATTAACTCCATTGCTAAGAGATTCTGAATTTTTTTTCTATTTGTTTTTGTTTTATTCTTGGAACTGGGCACAAAAAACTTGAATCCAAGAAGGATTCTCAAGAGACTTCTCCGCTAGAATCAAAACTTTGAACTGCAGGAGATCAAGCAGATGCATCATAAACATAAACTGCATGGTCACATTAGAGAACAGGAAGCAACCTCCTGCTTCTCTCGAGAACAGCAACTAAATGGCCCCAACTAACTGGTTTTATTGATGCATCCAGGTCACTAGATTCTAGAAGACCACAACAGAAACAAGCAAAGCTGTCACATATTCCTATCTTACTAAAAAGGTCTTTCTCTCACTGAAAGTTAGAATCAACAGTGGGGAATTCCTGGAGTACTGCAGGGTCAGGGTCAGTGCGATTCAACTGACCAAATTATAGTAATCCACCAGGACCCCAGCAGGTCGGACAATGAGCAACTGACTTAACCACTAAGAATACCTGGAGCGGTTGGTTTAAGCATCCTGAATGCTGATGGATATAAAGCTTCAGATTAACTAGCACTTTCAGAAGGTTGTTGGTGCAGAATTTGATTTACAGTTGTGCAGAAGGTAGTATGTGGTTTACACAGCGAGGGTGAGACGCAACGCTAAGATGGAGGGAATTTTATGGCAGACAGACTTACATTACCATCAAACAGTTCATGTAGGTGATTTGAAAGAATTTAGTTTCCTATTGTGTAATTCAATTCAATTTCAATTCATTTATATAGCGCCAAATTCACAACACATGTCATCTCAAGGCACGCCTCTTATACCATCGGAAGATCTGGTTGAATATCTCTATAAACTCTATTTAGATAACATGTGTTGTGAATTGGTGCTACATAAATAATTTGAATTGAAATAATGTGATGTTTTGAATTCGAAACGCTTCCTGGATGAGAAGTGAAACATCTTCAAACTTGGAAGCAAAGTCCAATGGATCTTTTATTATTTTAGAATGACTATGACCTGGATCTTCACCAGCAATGTGACATGGGCGTAAAAAATCTGTTACTGAGTGTAATTCAAAAAATTAACATGTACAGTGATCTGTGTAGCCTGTTTGTTTCACAGAGCCCCATCACAATAAAAGTCAAAGATGAGAACACATCACGTAGCTTGATGGGGGTTTTCAGCTGGTCCAGACACTGTCTGCCAGGCTATATCACACCCCACAGGTGAGGCTGGCTTTAGAAGACACCTGGCAAGACATTTGCTCCTTTTGAAACTCTGATGTAGTTGAGAGGATAGTAATAACCTCTAAAATGTGTGTTTTTTTTTTTAGACAAATCAGACTCTAACTCAATAAAAATGTATTTGTCAACCACAAGATAGCGTAGATTTATTCGGACTTTCATTATCCAGTCTTCATTTTATC